GTCGACCCTGGGCGATGAAAAGTTTGGTTATGATTAAGAGCTAAATATAACATTCGCTATTTGAAACAGCTGGGCGACTTTATTCTATTGATCTTAATAGTGCCATTAAATGCTTCTAAGGCTGAAAAGACGTTGTGGCTAGTGAGTGGGGCACGCTTGCCCATATGCTGTGGAATCGAACCACGAATCAGTGTTCGCCCAGGCCGACCATTCCGTCTCTCAGGGATCGGCTAGTTGGTACCAGACCCGTCCGTGAATGTTAAACACTGACTTAGACATCGGCTACTCATCACAAGCCCATTATATGGGCCTCATGTGAGTGCGGGAGCGCATATTGAAAACGGGACTGAATAACGCCGAAGGCTCCCTTTTTTTTATTACTAAAGGCACACTTCTCGACAATTCTGAGGTATCCTTTAAGAGGTGGAAGTGGAAGTGTTGGTGGAGGATAGTGTCCCAGTGGCGAAGAAAGCGAGAGAATCCGCTTATTTGCAAAAAGTAAGGCATTCCAAAAGTAGTGGAAATGGAGGTTGTACGAGATTTCTATGACAGAAATGGCATGGTAGTGGTATTCGGACGAGATTTTAGTTGTGACAATTGCGCAAAAGCTGACTACATAAAATCAAAATTGTCCAAAACTGCCTTCCAATGTCGCCATGGGTCATGACAAATTGTTTGAACTTCCAACATGGTAGTTCCTTGAGATAGTGCAGCCTCTAACCACCGTTGAGATCGTCCGCTAGGGGTGTGGCTTCACACAATACACTGTTTGGCCCCTTATTGTGTCCTACCCTGCGTTGAAGTCATCCTATAGGGAAATCCTACAAACCATTTCTTTCGTGAACCCTCCTGCCTTTAAGCGCTCTCTCCTGTTCACTTCCAATCGCCTGTATTTTTCTCTTCACTGTCGTTCTGCTGCTGTAAAATCGATGTAGAGAAAAGCCTTCATTTGAAACATAAATCAAATTGCATTAAAGAATCATTCAGGGAATGCTAAGAGATCCGTTTGTTCTTCAGGAGCTTCAGGAAGTCGAAGATGTTCAAGGGTATCCTCACGAAGAACCCGGATCTCCATAGCGTTCCAAACTGGGAACCCGTCTGACATCTAGTCAATCTAGAAAGTAAGGAAAGTTGTTTAGAGACGAGAGATTGATGAGGAGAAGTGAAGAGAAGGAAGGAAGGATGGAAGTTCATTGACGACCGACATATCCTAACTTGGGAGAAAGACTGAAAAGCGCGCAACAACCCAAGTAATCTCAGCAGTATCGACGAAAAAACTCTGCCTACAAGTCATCAGAACGCTAAAAAATTTCTGCTTGACCAAACTACGCTGAGCACAACGACGTAAACATAATATATACAATTGAAACCCGAAAAGCAATCATGAAGAAATAAGCAACAACAAAAGCAAAAAGCTCATTTGAACACCACAAAACACACAGGGACTAAGTGGTTGGACAGTGAAGAAAGAGCGACATGGCATTAGGTCAATTTGTATGGCTAATATGGGAACACGTGTAGTAAGTGACTTCCACCGAGGATGGCAAGTGACTAGAATCCTGAACATACGGAGGCCTAGGGACGCCACAACGAATCGCTGCGTCACCGGCTTCAGAAGTGTTCGACAGTAACTGCAACGTCGACATCTCGATGGGAGCGACGTGGGCGACTTTCATCGTTTATAGTTAGATTTGACGCCGACCGCTGCAGCTCACCGTGGACAGATTCGAAAGAGGATTGGCTCCTGAACAAGGGATGCTAGAGGAAGTAGAAACGGGATTCCTACAGAGATTAAAATGAAGGTCCCATGAGCACGTACCTCATCGACCCAGTATAACTGGTTCTCGATTGGAATCCACTTGAAGCGGTCTTTTTTTCACTGGTCACAGAGCTTGGAGCCGAATTTTTCGTACGACGCATCACCTAAAAATGACCCTTAAGAGCTGTAACTCGGTTAAGTGAATAAAATGAATGTACTTGTAAGCTATTTGAGAGATCCTGTGCGACGTCGGATTGTCTGGTTTTGTTCGGATTGACTGTCTCATCCAAGCGTGCTTCCAAAAATGTTGAAAGACTATAGAAGTGGTAATGTTGCAGAATTATCAGACTTAGACCGACAAGCACTGCCAGAAGCCCTGAAACACAGCTACCATTTAATTGTTGGGTCACTACGGCCAAGATTGTATCATTCCCAATCCCTTGTATCATTAGCAATTCCTGGAGGGAACTATTTCTCCCTTTTCTCTGTAACAATTCGCTTGCTCAGTTGGCTTTCACCCATTGCCTATCGAGTTCCTGCCTTCTATAAACTTCAATCTTTCCAGTTTTCCATCCATCTCGTCAGGACCACTACCATTTCATTGCCAGGGCCTTCGACATATTGTACTTTTTATTTAGTTAAATTAGGATCAGAAAACAGGCGCTCTTCCCCTGACAAACCTTGAAATTCATTTTGAGCCTCAGTGGGAGCCCCCTTCCAGTTTCGCGTTTGGAATCCAGGTTTTTGAAATGATTCAAAAATTACACCATGAATCATAAGGAGATGGCTGAATCTGGGGCAAAATCGGGAAGATTAATGAATAGTTTTTTCAAGTGCATGCCAACAAACTCTTTTTATTTGCTGCAAAATTTAAATGCGTGTCGGAAACAAAAACTTTTTGTGAAAATATTGACAACTCATCAGTTCAACTGGAAGCATACGTTCAGAATTGTTTGTCAAACGTTGCCATTTTTGCAAAAAGAAAAGGTTCCAGAAATTTTTGTTGCATTTTTGATTCATTCCTTGATGTACGTGGAACCCTTTGAAGAGTGAATGCCACGTGAACTGCTCGTGCTGCCCCTCCCATAGGCTACCCTTCAGCCATAACATTTAGAAGAAACAAAAAAAGCGAAAACATTTTGAAAGAAGATGGCGAGACAGAACAAAATGGTGGTACTCACTCAATCCTGTCTCCCTTCCTGATTGGGTAGTTGTAGGACGTACATTACTTATGTGAGAGGGAGTAAATTCAAACAGTGTGTTACCACGATCCTGCTTTTAGCCTCACACAAAAACTTGATTATATTAATGGGCGGAAAATTATACAGATTAAAGTCTTTTGTCTGGTCGATTCCGTTCTTGGATCCGCCTCGCATTCGTCTCCCATCCAGAATCGCGGCGTTATTCGAATGCGTGTATGGCATGCAATGACTTCTAAGAAGGGACGATCGTTTTTGTCAAACAAGTATCCTACCAAGGACAGCATAGAATTGTAACTTGGTAAAAGCGTCGAATTGAAGCGAAAAGATGTAATGCTTTCAGCTCAAAAACCCCTGAGTAATGGTATGGATACGTAATTGTCTCGATTTTTATGCTAAAGATTGTTTTTATCCCAGATTTCATGATGAAATTACTTACCCACGGCAAAAACGCAGTAGAAGGCCCATTGGAAACTCATTTTCATGACGATACGGTTCCCCTGTGTTCCGACGAATCCGATTTGTAATTCACAAGGAGACATGATCAGATAGAGCAGACAGGCGAACAGTGCTGATAGCCCAGTGGCCAGCATTGCCTGAATGGCATATTCTGAGTAAAGTGAGAAGTAAGCACCTGAATCGAAACTTACCAAACCGAAATGATGCGGAACTAGTAGGACGAATACGACGGCAAGCGCCCAGCATGATAGCGCAAAACTGAAAGTTTGGAATGATTACTTGCACAAGGAAGTTTCTTCCTGGTCCAGTATGGATTGATTAATTTGGGAAGAAAAGGTGACAGTATTCGAATTCTGGTAGGTAAGGGATAAAAGCGAGAAGGTTTCTAACATTGACCAAATTTTTTTTTAAATCTGCCCCATAATCGACTTCTATCTAGAATATAGTGGCGTTAAGGATGCTCATGTGCTCTATATAGTGGGTAGTAGTGGCCAGCTTATGAACAAGTCAGTACTTTCATCGTTCCAGACGAGACTCGTTAGCTGACCCGTGAGGGATAAGGGAAACGGTTGATCCTTTCGATATTGAAATGGGATTCGATCACCGGTCCATGAGTGTGATAGAACGCCACTTTCCCCACACCACCTTCGCCCTATGGAAGGTAGGGCTCTAGTTACCGAGAGGCAGAGAGAGGCAAAAAGTTAACAAGCGCAGAGAAACTTCAACAGAGAATGTAACTTGTAAGGAAAGCTTATGGACTTTGACGAGGCCCTTTTCCGTATTTGAATGAATGCTCAACGTTCTACGAAATAGAAACTATCAAGACGTCAAGAACGTAGGAGCCTTTTCGATAAGATACATGAGAAATGGGCGGAGGTGGTGTAGTGGCAAATGGCGCACTATATCACACGCACGGTCAGGGGTTCGAATCCCGCATCGATGCCCGCCCAGGGCNTCGGTGAACTGGTATCAGACCCGTCTGGGAGGATAAAAGCACTGACTTGTACATCGGCTGGCCACCGCAAGTCATTGTATAGGCCACATACGCACTCATTACGCCACTACGATTCTGAATGGAACTCGAGTGCGGGGGCGCATCCCTCAGACGAGATTGATTAACGCCAAAAACTTTATCCTTTATCCTTTATACATGAGAAATGCTTTTTCAGCGGAAATACTGAAAAAGTGATTTTGCGGAAGCCTCTAGACCGTTTCATTCAAGTGCGGTGGAACGAATTTTGGTTCAAATATGGTTACTAAGTAAAGGTTTTTCAAATTGCGGTCACGATTAAGAAGCGGAGTGGTTTGCTCACGAAAGGGAAACTCATCAAAGGACGGTTATTAGATGAATTATTGGTGAAATGGTTGGCCAAGACAGCAAAGTTTAAGAGTCTTTGTAAAAGCTAGAAAGAACTGATTGGAAATCTATCGATATGACCGATCGATTTTATAAGCTTAATCTTATACATTACTACGTAAGGTTGAAGAGCTACAGTGATTATTGGGTGAAGTAAATTGTCGAAGCTACGTTCAGAAAAACAGGAAAGCGGATTACCTGATGGCGGCAGATGTGTAGTGACCAGCCGTCCGGTAATGTCGTCCCCAGTCGAAGGCATCTTGATTGAGGGAAAAGTATTCGAGTATACTTAGAATCGGATACGGTAGGCCGCGTCGGTAGGCCGATCGTAATTCTTCCGTCATAGAGGAAACTGCAAATACGACAAATCAGAGGCCGGAGGTCGGAATTCCAACGATTCGCTTATGTTTGGTCAGTGTCACATAGGGTCCAAATGGAATGTAAATTTTCCTGGCCAAAAGAGCAGAAGTCAAAGGAAAAGGTAAGTTTAGGATTAGTCATAAGGGCATTGTAGTCTCAAAAGAATGTAGAGCAAAAGAATCGCTCAGAAAAGCCACGATAGAGTAAACCATGTATGCGTCTCAGCCTCAAAGTTTTAGGTTAATTGCTGGGGTGCAAACAAGTTGCTTAGGTATCCTTAGAGGGGCAAAAGATGGATTTGTTCAGAATGGGCTCGATCCAGGACTGATGCAAGCGATGATTTCTCACTCCACATCTAGAGGAAAGTCACGAACCTCCGGAAATGTCGAAGTTTTCATTGTAGTAAAGTCGACTCATATCTATTCGAGATCCTTGTCTATCTGGTTCCACCATTTCTTCAACTGAAACCGATTTTTTGAGCCTTTTGGAAAGGGTCTGTCTGTTGACGAAGGTTCAAAATGTTTTGCAGAAATCGTACATCGTAAAGTGATGTTGATGCTCTTAAGGCCAACGTTCACTCCTACACGCGCTCGCATCCGTTCGTTCACGTGAGACCTGAACTGTTGAGATTTCGGTACATTCGAAGGATTGCATATTTACTAGTTACCACTTACCTAAGTTGAGAGAGAATTCTTGCGGAACCTCCGGCCCATCCCGGAAGACATAGGGAGGCTAAATTTTGTCATATACAGCGGTATTTGTGAAGGGCTTTAATAGAGAACGTACCTGCCAAAACTGCTCCCGTTAGGGTGACAACAGTAATTATAACTAGGGTAATGATGCGCTTCTCTCGAACTCCAGGAAGAATTACCAGAAATGCCAGATATGGTATTACAAAAATGGCAGAGACCTAAATGTAAAAGCTTCCTTGGATTGCTGCATTGACAACTGCAATTGTCGACGATAGCAACTCACAAGGACTGCTTGAACATTGATGTCTGGCATTTCGGCGGTGGCATAGTCGGATGGTTCGGAGAAGCCGCCAAACCAGCTCGTCCACATCGGTCTGAAAGACATACCCACTTCAGAAGAACGACAGCGATGTTCTGGCTTGAGAAGACGTCGCGATGAGCAGTAAGCCGGCCAATATTGAAATTTCGAACGCAATGACACATCAATAAGGAAACAATATGGACGAAGAATTCGAAATGATTGCAATATTAGAGTTAAGTCAGATTGGAACGGAGTAGGAGGAATGACACGTCCGTGGGTGGTGGGTGACGTGGTGCCGTTTTACAAGCGTCGGCAGTAGGTTTATGTCCTAGTTCGGTTGAATATTTATTCAAGAAATACGAGAGTAGAGAGTGAGGTAAGCGCCATGTAGGAGAGAACGAGACCAACAAAGATACCGGTACAACGACTGATAGGTAAACAGTTGCCCCTTTGTCATGTGCGACGTTTGCTCGATAGAGTAGGGTTCTTTAGTATGGCGGAGCAGTGAACAGCGCCGAAGAAAAGTCATCTCCTACGTCATACAACTGGGAAAGTACCCGAAACAATGAACACCCACATGTTACGCGCGACCAACGGTCGAAGATCAGAGCCGTTTTTTTGGTCGACCCAACACCTTCGCCATCATCTAGTGGGCGCCCTGCCCCCGTAATCGGTCTACAGAATCTTTGATGTCTCGCAAGGTGCGAAGTCGTTTGTCTAGGTTGTCATTTTGTCACGTATATCCTTCCATTTCCGTAGGAACCTGTTCATTGAAGTCGCAATTGCAGATTTTCTAATCCTCTACCGTAGTAGTTGACTACCCGAGGGAGCAGGGGACACTTTTCACTACCTTCCCAACCTTCCCGTTGGTCAGAGCTCTAATATTTAACTGCCACTCTACGCTACGCTGCACGGAAAACAGGATGAAAGCAGTAAATTAGCAAACATTTACTTGGTACGTGACGAATCAGGGGAATAGAGTGGGCGATATCGAAGGTGTGGGGAATGAACTATGATAAGGAACAACAGAGGAAGTCAAGCTCGGGAGTTGTTTACAGGAATGTGGAGTGCACGGTAATTTCGAAAGGTCTCAAAGGGTGATGATTGGAATGTGCTTGGCGCCCACCTCGGTCGCCTAAGTTTCATCAAGATAACGAGGTTCCAAGGCCAGCTAGTGCTTCGATGTCTTACGGGACGGGCAAGACACCCGAAGGAATGTGCCGCTACTCGATGACGCAAACAGCTGTGAGGAAATGGTTCGGGTCGTCGAGTTAAAACGTTTTGACAGCGACTTCTCTCTAAGCCCCCGTGAAATGCCAACTGTAGAAAGCAGGTGGGTGATGGAGATAGTGGAACTGGGCTCCTGGAAGGTAAATTTCCTTTGACAAATCAACTGACGAGAAACAATAACAGTCTGAGGGAATCGAGATTGCCACTCACCTTACGAAAGAGGAATGCTTAATGGTGAAAAGCTCTTGAAGACGTGGGAACGGGTTCTTCTTGTTGAAAGTTCATTCTCATAACAATTGAGGAAAGCGAAAGTATGAACAATTTAAGGCGTAAATTAGTCATTAGAGCTTCAAAGGTGAAGCTCCCAAATGAAGGGTATGGGAGGACATATAGAACCGACTCTACTTGGAAGCGATAGAGGGTACCGAGAGGGTCCCATGGCTATTCCAGTGCTTGAAAAGGCAACTGATAGTGAAAAGCATTACTTGGGTTAACTAGGTCAAATGCCTGGGTCACATTGTAAACAACAAACAAACAGTCTCTTACAAACTCCCAGACTCTTGAACTGGGTGCTACGAACGATGCAAAACAGCGATCCCACCCAATTCCGGTGTTGGTTTATTACTGATAACAGTAACTATGACTGTATAATCAGCTGGGTGGTGGGTGTTTGACTGGTCTCGGAATCTTCACATTCCTCTCTCATGAATGGGAGGATACATCACCGAAAGAATGTTATGTCAACAACGGAAGACAATATATTACGTAGATGAAATGAATATGTGGGATAAACTTGTGGTTGCTTTGGGGAAGGTCTTCGAAGGGGACACAACGCGACGTTGCAATGCCACGACGAATGAGTTTGCGGGTCTTACGATGATGGTATTCCGTTAGATATGCCCGGCAGTCTAGCTGTCGCCGATGATCAAAAAGATATTACACAGTTATTCTGACCTCTACAAGATGAGATCAGGGAAGCCGGTTTTCAGCGGGTATCGTCATATCAGCGAAATCCCCAGATTCGAACCGAAAAACGTGTCGGAAGGCATGTTATTAAACCATTCAAGCCCGAGGTCTCGCTGATTTGTGCGGGTGCAGTGTCCCAAACCGATTTCAGAGGGCCACAATGATTCACAAATAACCGGATCGTTGACATACCTTGCATAGGGTGGAACCTCAGCTTTGGTGAAAGTACCTTCGCTAGTCACCCCAGTCTATCCAGGGAGCCGGTTGTCCAGTGGAGTATCGCCTAATAGTATCTTCAAAACAAAGCTCCTCAGAGCTTTTTCCAATCACCCGAGAAGGAAAGAGAAAAAGAAAGACTGAGAAGATAACGATGGCATGGCAGCGATCATCAGCACGAAATGGAAATCATCGCGTCTAAGGTGGAAATATAATCTCCTGGATGCGGACAACACCCTTCACACCGTTCCAATGGAGTTCCAATACAACTTTATCTTATTGAACAGAACACGAGGTTAAATATTACAAATGAGTCTGCTGACGTTTCGGCGATTTCCGCCTTCTTCGGAACCAAAAAAAGGTGGTAACCAGTGATTTATTCGACCAAATGTCTCACCCCCCACGGGACCTTCGAAACCAGTTAAAACCCAATAAAGTTTCAGGAACAGTTCTTTTTTCAATTATTGCTATCATAAAAGGTTTATAGTATAGTCAACCTATGCGAATCGCCCCTTCCACCTCCCCCTCCCTTCCGCCTTACAAAACTGTAAACAAGACTATTTGGATTTTCTTTGAGTCGAATAGGTGGCGAACGGGTCTGAAATGTTTAGTTCAGATCTTTGAAAGGAGAATTGAGACGCGTTCAACAAATTCGAATCATAAATATCAGAATTCATGAGGCGGCTCCTTTCTCTACTCTTACCTCTTTGTCAATATAATATGGAATCAAGAGCGGGGGCCCTGATTCTGTAAAAGGGATTCAACAACAGGGGATTGCTATTCAAAACCAAATTATAGAATTATATTGTTCCGTTAGGCCCTGCTTTTACTTCGAGAGAACCAGCTCTTACAAAGTACGCTAACGGAGTAGTGTCAGCTGCTTTCTTTGATCACTAAATTGGATACCATCGTAAAGGTCCCTTGATTTTTTATGAGCATTTTCTTGAGAAGTTCCTCTTTCGCTTAGTAATTTTTGCCTCAGATAGTCGAAATAAGAGACTTTTTTTGCAGCTATTCAATTACGTAAACCTACATGTCCCCAAAAGCAAAAAATAGGGGTGGTCCTGTTTGTAAGACAAAAAAGACGCCAGGCCAAAAAAGGCGTAAGTGAGGCCGGGGCCGGGCCAAATGACGTCATTACCATTTATATGTATGTACTCGTGGATGAGATCCTAGACCGATACCAGCCCAGGGCAGTCAAAACTCCCATTCTTTCGTGATGAAGAATGAGAATCTTGACTGTCCTGGGCTGGTATCGGTCTTTCAGTTCGGAATACATTTATTACGCTCAGAAGAAGTAGTGCATTCATTACAAGAAGAGGAATTGCTCCTCATTTCTAAGAGCCCGATTAATGAGTATTCTGGAGGGAAGTGAACGTCAAAAACCATTGGAAATCTACGAGCTTCACTGTAATGGGGTTAATCGTAAGGAACTGAACAAAATGAAAGTAAAGGTGTTCCGTTACGTTTTTCTCAAAAAAACCATCGCCGTGAATATTTGTGATCTCTGTCATTTCTTTAGAAAGTTGATGATATTAGCCGATTGACGGGTAGATAAATTAATGAACGGTTCCTAAACCTATTTCACTACTTTTTCAGCAAATATCCAAATGAAGCACTAAGACGTCCTATCGGTAGGAAAGAAGCGTGTCATAAAAAATAAACGGTCATCGTGGTCTGCGGAACTGATCTTTTGATATTCCCCTACCCCGTTTTTCTAAACTTATGCACTTACAGTTTTTTGAAGTTCCCGACCCTCTCGTCACAACACCAGTAAAGAGCTGCACTAGTACTTCTGAAACAGTCGATCCAAGTTGCGAAAGATCTTCTTGACGCAATTTGATCAAGGGCGTGTACCGGCTCGATCTTCATGTGCCAAATATAGACATCAGAAACGTCATTTAAATGGTCTGTAGACATTAGAACTAGTTTGTGCTATTTGCCTTGGTAGACTTGGGACTGACGTTTTTATATAAAACAATCTATTGGACCATCATGTTAATAATGTATCATTTTCATACATTTTTGAGATCTTTTTGAACGCAAAACCTCAATGGAACGTTTTGTAAGTGGCGGCATAGACCGGCTAAGTCGACTGTTCGAAGAGAAGCACAGGCTAGGCTTCAAAGGAAAGTGCTATCTTGGCAGAATGGTCGACCAACATTCATACAGATGATGTACAACAATAGCTACACTGCAAGGCTGGAGCTGGAGCTACTCCAAAGGCCATCATGATCGCCGTATTCGCTCAAATCGGCCATATTAGCCTTCAGAATATTTATTTTTTCTGTTCTCAAGAATCGCATGTCCGATACGAGCAGAGTTCCACAGAAGATGTAAATATGATGTCCAGAAGACTGCTTCATGCGAGTATAAATAGATTCAAAAAACATAGGCTCAGTGATGTAGTGGAAAGAGGTCGCTTACAGTTCACAGTAGCTTACGTCCGTAATCACTTCCTGGCTTGATATGCGCCCAGGCCAACCAACCCCCTCCCCCCCCCCCCCCCC